GCATAGTACACTGTTTGTAATACTAACTTATTTATTCATTAATTATTATGGCAACAGTATGATCTACTATGAGAGAAAAACGTGTTGCGCACCATGATCATTCTGAATTTGTTTTGAATCTTCATGTTCACCAGCACATCTGGTTTTATAACAAGCAGATACAAAAAAATAGATTTAGGAATAGCTGTATTTGATCTCTTAAGTTCAGTTTGCACCTTCATTGCAATACAGCACATCTACAACGTGCTCCTGCAATTCGTCATACATTAACAGGGGAATGAAAATGGAGTGAAAATTTCCTTCAAAATAGGTTGAAAAAGCAAGTCATTTTGAGGACTTAACATTTAAATAAGGTGATGTGGAGTAACTCTGCCACTATCTTTATGATCTTCTGACAGCTTTGACAGGGAAAAATGTAGCCTGGAGAAAGGCTTCCACGATAAGCTCTGTGGCTTATGCTTACAAACTTGATATGTAGCCATATGTGACATGGCTAGTTCCATTTCAGTTAGGCAGTGGATACATCCAATTTTGATCATACAGGACATAAAGTTATTCTGTAATTCACAATGTGAATAAGATATGGAAAATAAAAATATTTTAAATGCAGCTTCTAAATATATGCATTTAGTCATGCATACATGCATTAACAACTATTTCCTTGGTATCTTTGAAGGAATAGAGATAAGGAATAATATAAAATATTAACTTTGTATGTATCTGAAAATTATATAGATATATTGTACAGTCAAATTTATTGGATACTAATAGTTAATAAAGGTGAGAGAAACAAAATCTTGACCAACTCTCAAGCATTCATATTGGGCATAAGGGGCATAAATCATTGTGATGTTCTTTAATTTATTTTGGTGTAAAATAGTGATTCTGCTGGAATGAAGTAATTGTTGACGTAGATCTATTTTCTTAAGAACACCTCTTGTTGTGCCCAAAATATAGGAAAGATGTGTAGGTCCCATGGCGTTGCATTGCTATGTATATTTGACCATTTCCAAGTTTGTTCTAAGTACAGACTTCTCTTTTGAATCACAACAATAACAACATAAATAACACTCTCCTATCCTTTCCCTCCTCCTTTCCTGAACACATTGCTTTTAGCTATAGAAATTCACCCATAATTAATGAATGGTTTTAAGGAATTAATTCTCCCTCCCCAAATTTTTGGCCTGTGCCAAGAAGGTCCCTGAAGACAATTAACACACTGAAACACAGCATGTTTTTTAGGTTGTAAATCACACTAAATCAACATCAAGGAAACATTATATGTTATAGTTGAAATACTCTGAGCAACATGATAATAAAGGAATATTCTCAAATGAGCAAAATGAGAACAGTGCAAAATTCTACTTTAGTTTATATTAAATAGTAACAATTATATTGTTTTCAAGATTAGTTTTTGTTCAAGTCACTGTAATTTTACATACATATTTTAGATACACTAGTCATTTTAGATACATATTGTATCTTCATGTAAATATTCAATAGAAATGCATCTCAGTTTTGCTTAAAGTAGTTCAGTTGTTATTTTGGTACAAATTAAAAATCAAATACTAATATTAAGCCACCTTATTTTCCTTAAAAATGATTTTGGTTATTACTTATTGAATTATGATCTATTATCAAATTTCTAATAATAAGGCAAACAATTTATCTCTTAATCAAACTAAATTATTTCAAACAGGATAATGTCTGGCTTTGAATTTAATATTCTTTAAAAGAATAAAACTAAAATCAGATAATTCACTAAAATACTTTCTGACATTGAAAAATGTTTGAGAAAAAGAGAATACAATTACCTATAGGGTTTAAATTGACATAGTGTGAAAACCTTGGTGACCAGTATCTGTCCAACCCAAGTTTAATACACGGCTGCATTAAATACTAGATGGGCGATGCTTAAGTAGGTTACTTGCAATTAAAGTATCCTCTGTCAGGACCCTTGACCAAGCAAGTTTAGTCCTCTTCTTCCTGGAAGATTCACGCTACATAAATGATGTGATCTCATAATTTGGGAGGGTTTGTGAAGAGGTAAAAGGAGGCTAGCACTTCCCCGGCTAAATCAGACGGGATTTTTCAACCTCAGCACGTGACTGATATTTTGGGCTGGATAATTCTTTCACATTTGTAGGGGCTGTCCTGTGAATTGTACGATGTTGAGCAGCATCCCTAGCCTCTACCCACTAGATGCCAGTAGCACTCTACCCCCACTTGTGACATCCAAAAATGTCTCCAGAAATTGCTAAATGTGCCTGGTCATGGGGGTGGGGGAGGAAATCAGCCCTGGTAGAAAATCCTTGAGTTAAAACAATGAAATGATGTGCATATGTCACCACCCCCACCACCCCACTCTGTCACCACCTCCCCCTCCACCTTCACCACCATCACCAGATCTATAAAATAACTTCTGATCGAAACATAGTTTGTCAAATATATTGTCTACCTTTCAGGTTTGACATTTAGAACTTTCCCTTATTGAGCCTATAGTTGTTTTAGTCTTATCTTTTTCTTCTTCCCTTTGTTATTATTTTGTTCGTTTTCTCTTCTCTTATCTACTCGTCTTTTTTTTTTTTTTCCTAATTGTAGCCTATACTTGTTCAATTAAACCAATCTTTAAAAGATAAATATGTCCCCTCTCTTTCCTCCTGCAAGTTATTCCATTTAGAGGGGTGTATGTTCCTATCAGAAAAATCAGAGCAAGCAAGCTTAATCCTATTTTTAAAGCCCTGACTATTCCTAGGCCAAAGAAATGGAGATTTTAGAAGCTGGAGATTGTCTTCTCTGTGAGACCAGCTCTGACTTTGTTGATACCACGGCTTTATGTGATAAATTCAGTATAATCTGGCAGTAATGCTTACTATCCAGAATTTTATACTTTCTCTTCACCCCATACTTTTACTCCCATGGATATTAAACAATTGGATTCTTGCTTGACCTGTGGAAAACTTTAAGTGCCTCCCTGTCATTTAAAGAGATTTTCTGTTCCTCTAGTCATGCCAGACCACAAGTAAATCACAGAACATAGAATTACAGCTATTAAATACCATTTAAAATGCCTCATTTGAAAAAATAAATAAAAAACACTGCCACTTTTACTTTGATTTCTCTGATTCTTTCGTGAATAAAGTTTGTCATCTATACTTTGGTTTCTCAATTATTTTGTGCATAATTTAATTGTGCAAATATAGTTATATTAAAACATAAGAAGAAATACAGACTAAGATTTTCATACTGAGAGATGCATAGTAGACTAGAAATGTCAGTTAAAATATTGTTAATATCCAAATCATTTAATATTTTTGAAGAGCTATTTTTGCTTATCAAATGTTTTGTAGTTTTTGATAGCTAATGTTTATTGGCCACTTACTATACCCTAAGCAATTTATTTGTATTAACTCATTTAATCTTTACAACAACTTCATTGTAAGTGAAAAACTAAGGCTCAGAGAGGGGTGTGTGGATTGTCTAAAGTCCGGGCTGGCTAATAATCCAAGGAGCAAGGTTCAAATTCACGTAGTGTGAAATTCTAGTTTTGGCCATAAAATAGATGGTCTAAATGTGTGTGGTGTGTGTTTTTTGTTTGTTTTTTTTTTTTTTTGCTGAGGGAGATTGGCCCTGAGCTAACATCTGTGCCAGTCTTCCTCTGTTTTGTATGTCGATTGCTGCCACAGCATGGCTGACAAGTGGTACAGGTCTGTGCCTGGAAACTGAACCCGGGCCACTGAAGCAGAGCATGCTGTACTTAACCACTAGGCCACAGGGCCGGCCCCCATGTGTATGTTTTTTAAGCAACAAAATCCTGTCATTAAATATTATCTTATGTAGACCCTTCAGGTGAGTGTGTGTGCATGTGTGTGTGTGCATGCTTGTGTGTGAGTGTCTGCCTGAATAATGGCTGAGGGAACATTATAGATGACCCAAAGGCTTGGTTTCCTCCCACAGCCCAGGAGCTCCTGAGGTATTTCCATATAAGAATGAGAACTCCTTAATTCATAGTTCGAATCTTTACTTGATTATCCACACAGGGGCCTTCTACAGCTAAAATTCTTTGGATTGGTAAACTTTAAATATGGAGTAAAAAATTCTATTTATTTCTACTTTGTGGATGCTATTCATGATTCATGGTAAAACTTGTATTCCAACATTCTGGTGGAGATCACAAAGGAAGTTTATTGTTTCTGATTTTTTCCCCCATATCTGGAAATTTCAGGCAGATAGGATGCCAAAAAATATTTAAAAAGTGAGTGGTTCTTACATTCTGCATTTAATTGAAGTTCTTGTAATTAGTATTATCACATTTGCAATGAGAGTTCTTAGATTTAGATTTGTGATTTTATGTGAGTGGGTCTCTGAACATATTTAGAAATGTGGCACTGCATCGAGTAGAACAATAAAATAGAAAGAAATGGTGGAAATATTGGGCTTTAGTGAGCAATACGTGATTCCATTTCCTCCTTTGATTTTTAAAGTAGTCAAGTTCATGTGAACATATTTAAATCTATTATCTGCACATACATTCTAGTTTTACTGCCTGAAAGTTTGAAACATTATTACTGTGAAAATGATTCTCTTTTAACTTTAATTGGTGCTCCACTGCCACTTTTTGATAAACAAATATAAGGCTTTTATTATAAAAAATCTATTTAACCTGCCTCTTCATCTTCCTGTTTTGAACATAAATCTGTTTCTGTTTCTTTCTGGGGAAAAAAGTTTATTTAAAGACACAAAGAAATTTTAAGACACAAAGACCTCCTTTGGAGATTGAGAAGTGTATCAGAGTATTTATATCTTGTCCTTTTTTTCTTACATGAATTTCAGCAAAAAAGAAAAAAGATAAACATGCTTTTGACGATAATGGGCAGACACCCACAATGAACAATAGTTGTTTAAACCATGTTTTTGTTTTAATTTTATGTATCAGTATTTCTCAATCTGTTTATTACAGTAAGTATATTAATAAGAATATCTATTTCTTTTTACAATAGGTTCCTGTCCTGAGACCACAGCAGGATGTGCCTTGGACAAAGGTATGCACATTTAAAATATATTGCAAATTTTCCCCATGAGTATAAAAATGTTATGGTAACAATTACATTACTGTCACATGCTTAGATATATGGAATTATAGTATGTGTTCATGTACATGATATACACTCTGTCATCTGGCAAAATATGACTCTAGTGAGAAAATATCAGAATTGAAAATCTGATTTTCAAATACATATCATTGTCTGGACACAGAAAGCCTTAATCCACACAACCCATATGCAAAGAACTGTTATCACTAATGCCCTTGCAAGTAAAACAACAGAACTATTCTATGGTGGAAGGAAAGTGTTTAACATAGTCTTTAATGACTCTGATGATTAAATTACGGAAATAGGATATATTTGAGTGAAATTATCAGTCAAGAAGTGCCTATGAGTGTCTAAGTTTTGGGGGACCAAATAGTGAAATTAGTTTAAAATTACAAATCAATTTGAAAAGAGGAAGCAAAGAGGAAAATAAACACACACAGCTCAGTAAGAAATATACAAATGCACTTCATGAGAGATGAGGGGGAGGGCGCATGGCCAATTCAGGATGCCTATGATTTCAAAATGGAAATGCTATTGTAAAAAAATAAATGTGAACACAGAACATTGTAAAGATCGAGAATTGTAATAACCTTGAGTCCTAAGAGGGAGCTGAAAAGAAGATTTATACAATGAATAAAAAGTATATAGTGGGGACTCTGTGAGTAAAGACCAAAGGAACTAAGATTCTTAGGGAGTGTAGTGGAGAAAGATGTAGACTGATAAAATGAAACTCACATATAGGAGCTATTAAAACCAGTCCTACTCTATGGAGGAAGTAGCAAGAGAAAAATTGCTTAAACTGGTACATAAGGAATTTCAGTCAGCTGGGGAATAAGGTATTGAGAGAAGTTTTGAAGTCATTTCTCTGGAGGAATTTAAATACGGAATGGATTCACAAATATCTGATTATAATTTCACTAAAGCTTCTCTAGATCCTTTACCTGGTTCAGGATCCTTCCAACCCCACACAGAAATTGATGAGGCAGTTCTTTTTATTTTCCTGTGTGATAAAGTAATTTCATATCAAAAGGAAAGCTGGAAGTTGGCTTGTGGTTATAAGAAAAATGTGGACATATATGCTATAGTAATAATTGATGTCTGTTCTATTTTATGCAAACATAATACTTGGGGAAATATACTTACACACATCTTCATATTTTAAATTTGTCTCAAAACATACTATATTTGTTCTGCCATGTTACTTTTATATGAAAAAAACTATTTTATAAGCATATTCATATACAGATAATTTTCTGAGATTTTAAAATTGAAACACACTCCCAATTTTTTTCTTGACCCTATTTTTCCTCTTAGTCATTTTTAGTCCCTTTTCAGAGACTGGTGAGACTTTAGAATATCCAAGGAAAATATGCCAGCCGATGTGCACTGCCAGACAGGGAATGAATGGCTCCAGGCACAAATCTCTGTTGTGTCAAGGCTTTGGCATGACATTTGGCAGGGAACTAAATCAAACACAGCACAAAGCAAATAATCTCGGTTTCCCATAGATGTGCAGCCTCAACCTCGAGCCTGCTGTTAGTCATTATTACTCTTTCCCCTTGATATTCCTGGTAATGACATTTCTGGTAATGAACTGAAAACCAGGGCATTTCTTAGGTGTTCTCATGGTGTGAGGAAGTGAGAGGATCATGGCTTTGAAATTGGATCTTCCTGGGTTTGAAGTGCGACTCTGTCACTTACTAGCTGTGGAACCCTGGGCAGGTCACCTCAGATATAAAATGAATTTACTAATAATTATCACGGGGATTGTGTGGGGATTAAAATGACATAATTGTCCTAAAGCACCCCTTAGACATGTTACAGAATAGACATTTAATAAATGTTATTTTACTTCTTCCCATTTCTGTAACAAGTTGGGTTTTGTGTTAAACTTCTTAATAATCTTAATAATCATCTCCATCATTCTGTGAATAGAAGAGGAATGACTCTAATATACATCTGTAAGTTGTAGGTTATGTCAACGTGTGCAATAATATTTGTCTTTATCTTTGGGTGAGCACTCTTTTTGGTGAAGGAAGGGTTGTTGCAAACTTCTTGATCATTTTTTTTTTTTTTAAAGATTTTATTTATTTATTTTTCCCCCAAAGCCCCAGTAGATAGTTGTCTGTCATAGCTGCACATCCTTCTAGTTGCTGTATGTGGGACACGGCCTCAGCATGGCCGGAGGAGCGGTGCGTCGGTGCGCACCCGGGATCCGAACCCGGGCCTCCAGCAGCGGAGCGCGCGCGCTTAACCACTAAGCCACGGGGCCGGCCCTTGATCATTTTTTTATATTGAGTTCTTTTTTTAAAGAGGTGCATGTGATACAAAGGGTCTTTATGTTGCACAAAAGTGTTTTGAATGTCTTTGATTTAATTTTAGGTTTTGTTAGTGTGCTTAAGGATGGAAAATCACATTGGAAAATGTAGATGGCTTAGAAAAAGTATACCTCCATAGCATACACAAAAGATTTAGTTTAGTTCAATAGTTTGGTTCAACTCCTTTACTGAGAAATTACTGTGTGTTATATACTGTGTTAGGTGCTAAGGGTGCAAAGCAGAAATATATGTTCTCTGACTTCAAGGGAATTATAGTCTTAGAAGGGAGGAGATATGTAAACACATCATTTTAAAAGGTAACATTAATGTGGTAACATACTACAATGGAGAGGTGCCAATGAGGGGACCATAAAGAAAAGTCATTTTAATCAATCTGGCTTCCTGGAGGGGTTGACACTTCAGGCATCTTGAAAGGTGGTGATGAACTGGTCAGATGTCAGTCAAATATAGAGACATAAGGGTGGTAAGATGTTAAGAATAAAGGGAGAGAAATCAGTTAGGAATCTATTGTCATAACTAAAACAGTGGTGGCAGTAATAAAGGTACAGATTTGAAATTGAGAGTGAAATCCTCTCACTTTGTTCTTGAAGGTATAGATTTAAACTATGCTTAGAAGATTATTTTTACAGGAATAAGATTTATGTGTAGTGGTGTTTATCATAGTGTTATTTATAGTATGATAATAGGAAACAATGATTAAATAATAGGGAAACTGTCAAATACATTATGATAATATTTATGATATTTTACAGTTTCTGAAATTCATGATTTTGAAGATTAAGAAATTTGTGTTCTTAAAAAACAAGCCAAACTTTGAAATAGTACTATAGTACCACACCTATTTTATACATATGCCTTCATACATATATTTATATAAATCACAGAAACAGAGAGACTCAAACAATTATATATATGATATGCTTATATTAGGGGATAGGGTTCAAGGAGAACACACAGAAAAAGATTGGAAAGAAACACATCCAGCATCATTAACAGTGATTATCTCTATGTGGTAGGTATATGTAATTCTTTCTTAAAACTTTGAAATGTGTTTTACATTTTATATGATGAATGTAGTGAACGTACTCCAATATGGCTCCCATGAGTCCTGCCTCTTCATGTTCATACCCTCCCATTGAGTGTGGGCAGAACCTCTGACTTGCTTCTAAGCAATCGAATATGGAGAAGGTGACAGGATATCACTTCTGTGATTATGTGATGCTATATGACAAAGGTGATGGAATGGCAGTTCCATGAGTACATTACATTGTGTAAGACTATATTTTGTTAGAAGAATGGTTCTTGCTTTCCCGCTGGCCTTGAAGAAGCAAGCTGCTGTTGTGTGGGAGGGTCTCTGGAGAGGGCCACATGCCAAAACACTGTGGCATCCTCTAAGAGCTGAGAGTGGCCTCTGGCTGGCAGCCAGCAAAGAAGTCAAGGACCTCAGTTGTACAGTCGTAAGAAAATAAATTCTGCCAACAGCCTGAGTATACTTGTGTGAAATGATAAAAAATATATAGATCTCTGCCCTCAGTTCCTGGCACAGAGCTCCTAAAACCCTTGTAATTTCCTGGGCAATAGGACTGTCTTTTTGTTTTAGTGAAGTGACTCTTGCTGGGCTCCTGGATAGCTTCAGGAAGGGAGATGGTCACCAATAAGACCATGCCATGATTAGATTTTTGGAACTTTCAGCCCTCCTCCCATCCTTCAGGAAGAGGAGAGAGGCTGGAGATTGAGTTAATGATCAATCATGCCTACATGATGAAGTCTGCATAAAAATCCCAAAATACAGTGTTCAGAGAGCTTATGGGCTGGAGAATACATCTATATGCTGGGAGTCCAGCACACCTCAACTCCTTGGGGACAGAAGCTCCTGTGCTCAGGACTTTTCCAGACCCCACCCTATATATCTCTTCATCTTGCTGTTGATTCATATACTTTAATATTCTTTGTAATAAACCAGTAATCTAGTAAGTAAACTGTTTTCCTGAGTTATGTGAGCCACTCTAGCAAATTGATCGAACCTGAGGAGAGAGTCATGGGAACCTCTGATTGATAGCTGGTCGTTTAGAAGCCCAGGTAACAACATGGACTTGCCAATGGCATCTGAAGTGGGTGTGGAGGGGCAGTCTTATGGGACTGAGCCCTTAGCCTGTGGGATCTGTGATAACTCCAATTAGTGTCAGAATTGGATTGAATTGTAGGACTCACAGTTGGTATCTGAGAAATGCTTGGTGTGAAAAACCCACACATCTAGTGTCAGAAGTATTGTGAGTGTGAGCGTAAAGGAAAACACAGGAATGTTTTCCCCATACAAGTTGGAAGTGGGTATATACAGTGGAGCTTCCAGATAAGAATCCAGATTCACCTGATATCTTGATTGCAACCTTGCAAAGGACCAAGCCAAGTCATGCCTAGACCTACCCACAGAAACTGTGAGATAATAAATGTGTGTTGTTTAAGCTGTTAAATTGGTGGTAATTTGTTACTCAGTGGAGAAAATTAATTGCTATGGACTGAATTGTGTCCTCCCCAAATCCATAGGTTGAAGCTCTAACCCCCAATGTGACTGTATTTAGAGATAGGGCTTTTAGGAGCCAATTAAGGTTA